TTATCTTGAACGTGTGTTTGCCTGGGTCTTCAGCCAAAGGACTGGTTATCGCATTCATTAAATAGTGGCAAACAGCCAAACCTGTGTTCTTTTAAGCTCAAAGCCCTGCATAATTGCACTGTCTACACCAGCGGAATCGTGACGTTTTTCCCCTTCGCTAAACCGGGCATGGCTGTGGCCAGCCCATGACACATCTGGCCCACGGGCCGGGAGTTTGACAGCCCTGGTCTGCAGCGTGCAGGCAGAAGGGGTGCACTGTTTTGAAAAAGGGAATTGGATTCTGACTTGGGTAGCAGATAATCACTTTTTTGTCTTGTGTGTGTAGGACAAGATATGCCCTCAGCTTGGGAGGCAGAAATGATTACCTGTATTCAAATCACAGGTGAATAAACTGTGGGGAAGGAGAGCTACTTATCACAGAAGAGGACATTGCCATATTATTGTGATCCTTTCTTTTTCTGCTTTCTCCACCAACCGTGTGGATTTTGAAGCTTATACAGAAGTCCCTGAAGATTGAAAGTGCTACAGTTAACTGCCAAATAGAATCATCTTTTTTTGTTCTTTAAAGTGATCAAATGATGATATTATGATCGCTCCAACAATTTATAAATGGGTTCATAAAATCAGATTTCCAATTCAGTGCAGCAGTGAGTGGCGTTGATCACTCTCCTGATGAGGGTCTAAATATATCCCATTGATGTTGCTGAAATTCTTAACAGTTTTAATACCCTGCTATCCTGTCTGACATACATGGAGATGCAGATCTGATAAAATACACCACAGGAAACCTGGAAAAAAAACAGCTCCAGATAGTGAAACTGGAGGAAGCTTGTGCTATAAAATTCCTCAGTGATCTACTTTGTCCTTCATATTATTTAATGGCTAAAGGGAACCACTGGGAGAGACCACTAAAGAGTTTAATTGTCAGCAGTTTGCAGACACTTTGCCAGACCTAGCCAGAGGGCATTTTCGGTGAAGATGAAGTGAAGGTTTAGAAACCTAGAAATTGGACATTCTCCTTGTTTGGAGGGGGGGGGGGATAAAGCACATCTGGACTCAAACAGGTATCCAATTCCACTTGAATCCCACCCCAAATCCCTGGATCTAGACTCCCTCTGAAGCAGCAAATCCGTAACTTCAGCGTGTTCTTTCATCCAGCATTATAATATGTAGAACAAATGAGTAATGTAGACAGGGTATATTTCTCTGGTTTAGGTTGATTTAACAGCTGCTACTATTTCTGGACCACGCATACTTGCCAAGGCAATTACTAATGCCATCTATATGGGACTATGCTTAAAAACCTTTTGGAAGCTTTATTGGGTTGAAAAGACAGCTGGTTGAGCTATAAGGGGGTTTAAGAGAGTATATAACATTTCAGATGCATTAATGTTTCTGGGTGCAATTCAAGTTGAGGGTTTTGAGTTTTAGTGCCCCTCTAAATAGTTTAGGATGAGTGAACCATTTGCACACCACCCGGTTGCTCTATGAGGGAGATGGGCAGTTCCTGAATATGAAATATAAACAAAGAAATCTGTCCGTCCCACAGAAGAGATCTCATCATGTCCTCTCCTTTCAAAGCTAGCCCACTATCCAGTCTTCTCAATATTTGCAACATATCCAGCTGGCTATTTTCAAGATCCATAAAATGGATCCTTCCAGATAACTACTGTTAACTGTCAGCCAGTCAGATTGGAAAAACAAATGGTCACTACACTTTGTTGTTAGTTGCAAAGTCGTGTCTGACCCATCACGACCCCATGGACAATGTTCTTCCAGGCCTTCCTGTCCTCTACCATCCTCTGGAGTCCATTTAAGCTCAGACATATTGCTTCGGTGACTCCATCCAGCCATCTCACTTTCTGTCTTCCTCTTCTTCTTTTGCCCTCCGTCTTTCCCAGCACTAGGCTCTTCTCCAGTGAGTCCTTCCTTCCCATTAGGTGGCCAAAGTATTTGAGTTTCCACTTCAGG